AGGTCTCTGGATGTCTAGGCCAACGTTCTCTTCATGACCTATAACATCTTCAGGAGGTTAAGTTGTCATTGCTGGATGCCAACTTCTCGGCTTACACATTTCTAAAACTAACAGAGGCAATATGTTAGACTTTGTGAAAATCTTTGTTCCACTTCTGTGGGAGTTAGTGTATACTCTTTTAAAGAAGATTTATTTGTGGGTTTTCACCTTCTGGGTTTCACTATAAGTCTTCACACTAAAAATGAAACTAGTTCTAATCGTGGAAGTTTTGCATGGTTTGAGTTTAGATCTAGATATAGCTGCTGTATGTTACCTAATTTCCAGAACAAATGTTAACCTCTTCTCAGTATGTGTTTTGGAAAGGAAGATAACCTGGTATTTGCAACAATGTCTTCCTCAAATCACTAACATATTGGACCACAATTTTGAGTTTTTTTATAGGCGTCATCTCTAAGCAACTCCAATTCAGAGAGGGATTTTGTCTGAGGTTTCACAGCTTCTCTAAGTGGAATTAGAAAGTTCTAGGTCTCTGCCATTGAAACCAGGATGTCTTCCTGATGAAATTGGGTAGAAATAGGACTACTAATTATGCTACCCCTTGCTGCCACATGCACTAAGACTTTTAATAATGTAAGGCACATGTTGCTTATTATACTGACAATTTTTTTAAAGATTTTATTTATTTATTTGACTGAGAGAGAGAGACAGCGAGAGAGGGAACACAAGCAGGTGGAGTGGGAGAGGGAGAAGCAGGCTTCCCACTGAGCAGGGAGCCTGACATGGGACTCGATCCCAGGACCCTGGGATCATGACCTGAGCCGAAGGCAGACGCTCAATGACTGAGCCACCCAGGCGCCCCAACAATTTTTTTTAAATTTTAGACCAATATTGATGCACTATCACTCAAATATATTAACAGAACTCTCAAAGAGCAGAAAAATCATATTTAAATGCCAGTATTGTGATTGGTCCCTTTAAGTAGAGCAAAGTATATAATAAGTATCAATGTGTTATCATAGCAATAAACAGAAAGTTAATAGTTAGATTTTCTTTATTTTTTTTGTATGTCATGGCAATGTCTTTGAAAACTGAAAAGAAGTAGAATACAGCAGGTACCCAAAGAAAGGAACTGTGGCTTGAGCATAATCACTGGCTTATACATTGAAGATGTCCTTTTTATTGTGTTTTGATCTGAAAATTATCATTTTGTATTATCGTCTTTGCAATCAGAATATGTCCCAGGGAAAAAAGCTATAATGAAACATGATGTAGAGTTTTAGGTCTTCTCAACTGAAGTTGATGGTATTCCCCTTATCTATGGAGCTCTCGGTAGCTTTAACAATTTCAACTTTCCTTTTTACAGACACAGCTTCCTCCGGTGAAATGTCACAGAAACATGGAAGATGCTCCAGTGAAGTTCTTTACATTCATTAATGATTAAACATTTAAGGAACTGACCTTCTGCAAATCCTTTCCACAGTTTGAACTGCAGTCCATCACATCGCAGTACTGTTATAACTTCAATTAAATTATGCAGACCATTTCAATGCATGGATGTTTTTTTCAATATATATTTTAGTTACCAGGATTGGTTACCTAGCTCCAAACCTTGCTTTTCTAAGAAACAATCAAAACACACTATACAATGAAATGCTTTCTATATGCACTTACCATTTACATTTATGAATAATAACTGAAGATTGATTTTTTTTTTTCTGTACAACTTAGGTACAATCTATTTGCTCATTATTGAGGAACAAGGAAAGACAATGCTGTATATGTTCTTTTAAATATTTGACTTCTCTTATATCCTTTGTGAGCCTCTTGGGTAATAATTATGAAATTAGGCTTCTTTTAACATAGTCACATTTCAGTGAGGCTCAACCAAATAAAATATAGCCCCAGTTCCAGAAATAAAAGAAGAAAGATTTATAAGCAAGGAAAAAAACAGCAGTAATGAACCCATCAATTTTATTCTTCCAAAGAACTGAGAAAATACTTGTAGGTCAGAGCATATTGACAAAACTAGGAAATAAAGGATATCACTCATTTGTCAAGTTTGGAGATCTCATGTCCCCTAATAACTTTTCTTTTCTCTAAATTACAACTGGTAGTTAATTAAGAGCAGCAGTGGCTAATTATGAGAACAACCACATAGGAGTAACAGATGAAATTAGGGGGAAAGGCAAAGACTCACTAAGTAGTAAACCACTGGAGCAGTCTGGGGCTCATTAAATACACATAATTTTAGCACGGTACTTTTTAGCACAGTACAATAAGCCCATCATCTTGATGTTACTGACACACCTAAGAAACTGTTTGATTGGTTTCATATACTGTATTTAATAAGGCGATGAAAAATATAATATGTTTAAGAATGATTTCTTTAAAATGATTCAAATTATTTTTAATTGATCTACCAAAGCATAAAGTGTCATGTTCTGGAAAGTTCAGTTCTCAACAATAGCTGTGATGTTACTGCAACTTAGGTACAAAAGCCCATTATGCATTGGGTATGCTTTCAAAACACAAAGATAACATTTCTTGAACCAGACATTTAGCACAAGTTTGCAAAAGTTCATAAAGCCTCTGGAAAACACTTCTTTAAACCCTGCTAATCACTGTCAACAGACCTGATACATTGGAGGAAAAACGTTTGGTCAGTAGGACAGATGTTTATTTTAGCATAAAAAAGGAAGAATATTATGAGAAGGTATATTCATATCACAAGGGGAGAAAAATGGATAGTTGTTATTTTTAACTAAAAAATGAGTAAATGTATGATTCAAAGAATAAAATGAACTCAAAGAAACATGTATATGAACATGTTTCAATGAACATGTATACTTAGAATACAGAGTGGCTTTGTATATAAATTCTTAGTTTTGGGGAAATTTTTCCAACTGCTGAAAATCTTCAAATTTAAGTTTAGGAAAAAAAAAAAAATGAATGATTCTGTTAATTGATACAACACTGTCAACTTGGCCACTACAAGGCCATTTGATAGCCCATGCCAGGCAAAAGGACAACCGATTTGTCATTATTCACAACTTAAACCTTAAGTATACAATAGGCAGAATAAATGCCACTGTTTCTTTATGCTTAAAAGAGCTACAATCTTCAAGCAGTAGTGAGTAGCTGTGTATCTTTTTTCTAGTGTTCTTTTTGTATCCAGAGAACAAACTTCAGACACAGTATTTCCAAAAGCAGGCTAAATTTTGCTATAGCAAAGAGAACTTCTGCTATAGCAAAGAGAAATGAATTTTGAGAGAGCTAACCAATTCTGTTTTTCATAAACTTGCATAAGAAAGTTAGCAGTGGTACAGAGGCAGATATCCTGTAGGACTCACTATTTGAAGGAATTTTTAAAGAAGAAGTTAGACCGTCTCTTGCCACTTTCCCCCAACCTTCTGTTGAATTATAGGAATGTGTTCTATTCTTTAGAAGTTCTTTCTTCCCTTTTTCTCCATCTGGATATTTGTAAGCTACTTTAGCCTAAAATTTTCTCATGGTGCAGGTTTAAAGTCAAATTAAACAAATTGATTTCCTAGCATCTTTATTTTTTAATGCAAAGTTATGCTTATGGCATTCAGTTTAATTAAAGTCAAAGGTCACAATATATGGATTTATACTCTATTCTAATGTATAATGCATTTATCTCATAATATATGCCCAAGACTTCAATGAACAAAAAGAGAAAAATGTTTCCTCCACTTAAAACTCTTTTATTTCATATTTTCATTTCTGCCACTACTTTATACAAAGTAGAAAATAAGTCAGCAGTACACTAGTTTGAAATAGGGCATTCTTTTAACACAGCAGGAAATTAAAACATAATTTCTGTTAAGAACATGATGAGTCATCTCATTCATTTGGGAAGCTTCACAGAGCAAATTGTAAATATGGATTTCCGTGTTCTGGAATCAATTACATAACCAATTTTTTCATGAGGGATGTTCATTCCTGATTACAACATTTTAAAATTTTCTCACTCTACAAAAAGTCTAGCAAATTCTACCTTTAATCTACAGATAGCTTTAGGGAATTAAATTTCTTAAAGCAAATTATTAAAAGATAATTTAATGGATTCTTCTAAAAAGAAGTAGCAAAAGCTTTTTTGAATGACCTTAGCCCTGAAGGTTCAAAATGCCTGCATATTGTTTAACTATTCCAAAGTTAATAAACATGAGATGATGAGCACAGGAGTTGTCTTTTTTTTATAACGATATTATGTTTGTTTACAACTACTGTAAATATGTGGGAATAATTAGGCATTATTTAACAACTAATACTTATGTACATTTGAGTGGCTCCTAACAAGTATATAAATAGCACTATAGATATATTACTCAACTTGGTTTGTTTTATGTTTTTTTAACTTAAACAATATTATTCATACTCCCTTATGAGATAGTTTTCTCTTTAAGCACCACAAAATTATATTACGTAGATAAGCTGCCTTTCCCCCATATTGTGAAATAAGGAACTGTGTGTAGGCTCATCTGACCATCTATTCTAGTCCTTAATACTCTTTAAAGTTACTTTGACAATGTTTCTGGGCCAGCACAAGTGACAGACAAAATTGAAGTTGAACTCCCAGCCTTGAGTTGATTAAATAAGCTTGTTCAGTTGTAGGCAAGAGCATTTTGATGTACAGATGTGAAAAAGAAAAAGAAAAAAAAAAAAGAATCAAGAGAAAGCCAATGAGTTTTTGTTTTGTTTTCTTTATTTTTTAGCACAATGAGTGTAATCTCTTACAGACATGCTGAATCTCAAATAGTTCATGATGCTGTGGAGAAGGCAGAGATGAGAATTAAGAAACCAAAAGGCAAATTGTTTTGTAAGAAAGTTTTCTTAATATCTATCTCTGAGACATCTAGCATTACTTTCTCCTATAGTCCAATAAACCATACATTCCTGCTCTCTAGTAATGTATCCATTTGGTTGTAGCAATTTCAGTGACAGTTGTCCAAATGAACAGAAAAGAGATAGTAGCCAGCACAATCATAAGAAAGAGAAAGGACAATGATGCATATTTTTTCCATAAATTGAGACAATATAATTTATTTTAATTTTCCAAGGTGCTTTTTAAAATATTTTAATTGATAATAATTAGATACAACACTGTCAACTTGACCACTACAAGGCCATTTGATAGCCCATGCCAGGCAAAAGGACAACCGATTTGTCATTATTCACAACTTAAACCTTAAGTATACAATGGGCAGAATAAATGCCACTTTCTTTATGCTTAAAAGAGCTACAATCTTCAAGCAGTAGTGAGTAGCTGTGTATCTTTTTTCTAGTGTTCTTTTTGTATCCAGAGAACAAACTTCAGACACAGTATTTCCAAAAGCAGGCTAAAAGAGAAAGCAAAACAAATTATTAGGAGGATATTTGATGAAATACTACATTTGAATAAAATAGGTTATGTGTGCCTCAGTATGAGAAAGGGAGTTTTGTAAAAGGAATGTTCTATATGGTTGTTATTAGCCTCATGTGAATCTGTAAATTAATTAGAATGAAATAAAATTTGAAAATTCAGTTTCTCCATCACACTAACCACATTTAGAGTACTCAATAGTGACTTGTAGCTACTGACTACCATAATGGGCACTGCATTAGAGAATGGTCACATCATCACAGAAAGTTCTATTGGATAGCACTGTTCTACATGATAATGCATGTAATACAGTTCAGAGAATACAGTAGGTCATCCTATTAGATACATCCCTCTGTTTTATATTTGGGGTAACTGAAATCTCAAAGAGGAAGTCACATGAGTAAAAACTATGATAAATATGTTTCAATTTACTGGGGGGAAAGGAAGGAAGAGAGTTTAAAGTTCACTTTGCAGATCACCAAATGTTATTTAAGTAATTTATTTGTCACATTGAGTCTTCACATTCTGATCATTAAAATGATGCTTCAGAAAAATCAAACCAATTCTAACAGTATTTTAACTCCGAGAAACAAACTGAGGGTTTTAGAGGGGAGGGATGTGGGGAGATGGGAATGGGAGGGGGGTACCCGGTGATGGATATTAAGGAGGGCACATACTGCATGGAGCACTGGGTGTTATACGAAAACAATGAATCATGGATCACTACATCAAAAACATAACATAATAAAATTAAATTAAATTAAAAAATAAAAATAAAAAAAACAGTATTTTAATCTTCAAATGCACGAATGAGTCATTTTAAAAATCTTCTGTAGGTGGTTTCCAATCGCCTGACTTATAGTAGCTTCATAGACTCATTATAAATTTCTCTAATTTCCTTCAATCTAAATGGTTTATAAAATTAAGACCTCAGGGTGACAGGTCTTTGATTCGCAATTGATGAATGGGACACCCAATGAAAAAGAGTTAAAAAAGATACTCTTTGAAATACTCTGAAATAAATGATAAAAGTCTGTCTGCTTGCCAGGTTTCCCTCCTTCTCTATTAACTCTCTAACCTAGAACCCTCAAGTTCATCACCACCTACACACACAGTGTTATGACAGCACTCAGAGTCTACTTTTCATTTCTACAGGAGCCACGCTTCCTTTATATGAACCCACATTCAAATCTTATGAAAGGAGTTTATTTTCAGACATTAAACTGAGGACCCCGGCCCACTACGCCAATCTTCTCTTTATAGTGTGCTTTGGAAAGTTATCATCACTGCCCTTTCTGGCCCTTCAGATATCATTGAATATCTCAGTCTGTTGGGAAAATATAAATGTACACATATCCAAAAATTACTCATGAGTGGCTAGATTAAGTAGGCAATGGAATATAGTTAGGGAAATTTTCTGGACCTGGATGAAAGGAAGTGTCATGAATGACGACATGCCCAGCAGAGCCAGACTCTTCAGTGCTTATCTATCATGTATCATCGTGTGAAGGAAATCTCTCGCTAGCATCCTGGTGTCATCTGATGTCTGTTCGGTTTACTCTGGTAACCCTGTTTTCATCAGGATGCTATGTGTTGGACAGCTTTATATTTCTTTTTCATCTCCCATCCTCAAGTTTCTTCAAATGTGCTGCTCCTATCCTACGTCAGCTTCTGAATCCAAAAAGCTGAAGTCATTAGGAGTGCAGCTAAGTAAATAGACCAGAGTGAGAGCTAGGAGACTTTTTCTTTCTCCTTTTTTTTATTTGATAATTTGACATTACATTTTGTAAATCTAAGGTGTACTGTGTGTTACTTTGATAAATTTCTATATTGCAATATGATTGAAGTAGTCTATGTCAAATTACATCTTTATAGTACAATATTATTGTCCACTTTCATTACACTGCATTAGATTTCTATGACTTATTTACTGCTCATAACAAGTTTATATACTTAAACACCATCAATCTTATCCAAACCCCTTGCCTCCATGATCCCCTGGTTACCACTGCTTTATTCTCTGGTTTTTCACAGGTTTGACTTTTTTAGATTCCAGATAAAAGTGATATCATACAGTACTTGTCTTTCTCTGTCTGACTTATCTTGCTTAGCATAATGTGCTCATTTCATCCATGTCATTGGAAATGGCAGGATAGCCTCCTTTCTCATGGTTGAATAATATTCCATTATACACACACACACACACACACACCATTTTTATCCATTCATCCATTGATATATACCTGGAAGTAGAAGTGTTGGATCATGATGATGATAGCCATTCTAACAGGTGTGAGGTGACATCTCACTGTGTTTCTGATTTGCATTTACCTGCTGATTAGTGATGTTGAGCATCTTTTATGTGTCTTTTGGCTATTTTGATATCCTTTTCAGAAAAAAAAATATCTATTTAGTTCTTCTGCCCATTTTTTAATTAGATGTTTTTAAGGGTTTTTCTGTTGTTATTAAGTTGTGTTCTTTATATTTTTTAGATATTAACCTCTTATCCAATATATGCTTTGCTAAAATTTTCTTCCATTCTATAGCCTGCCGTTTCATTTTGTTGTTTCTTCTGCTCTGCAGAAACCTTTGAGTTTGATGTGGTCCCATTTGTTAATTTTTGCTTTTGTTGCTTGTGCTTTTAATGTCATGTCCAAAAAGTCCTTACCGAGACCAGTATTGATAAGCTACTGCTCTATATTTTCTTAGAGGAGTTGTATGTTATCAGGTCTATGTTTAAGTCTTTTATTAACTTCAAGTGAATTTTTGTGAGTGGTGTGACATAAGGGTCCAATTTCATTGTTCGGCAGGTGTTTCTCCAATTTTCACAGCATCATTTTTTGAAGGACTATCCTTTTCCCATTGGGTGTACACGGCTCCCTTGTTGAGTATTAGTTGACTCTATATGCCAGGATTTAATTGTAGGCTTTCTGTTCTGTTTCATTGGCCTGTATGTCTATTTTTGTGCCAGTACCATACTGTTTTTATTACTATGGCTTTACAGTATAGTTTGAAACCAAGTTTTGTTCTTTTATCCTCAGAATATTTTGGCTATTTGGAGTCTTTTGTTGTTCCACATAAACTTTAGGATTATTTCTTCTATTTCTGTGAATAATTCCTTTGGTATTTTGTGTGGATTGCTTTGGGGAATATGGCCATTTTAACAACATTTATTATTCCAGTCTATGAACACAGATTTCTTTCCATTTGTTTGTGTCTTCTTCAATTTCTTTCAGCAAAGTCTTAGAGTTTTCATGGTGTAGATCTTTCACTTCCTTGGTTAAATTTTTTCCTAAGTAAATGGACAGAGGGCCTGGATAAACATTTCTCCAAAGAAGCCGTACAATGGCCAACAGACATATGAAAAGATGTTCAATATAACTAATCTTCAGAGAAATGCAAATCAAAACCATAATGAGATATCACCTTATACTTGTCAGAATGGCTGTTATGAAAATAAATAAGTAAATAACAGCTGTTGGCAAAGATGTGGAGAAAAAGGAATCTTCATGCACTGTTGGTGGGAATGCAAAATGGTACAGCCACTATGGAAAACAGTATGGATGTTCCTCAAAAATTAAAAATAAAACTACCATATGATACAACACTTTTACTTCTGGGTATTTAACTGAAGAAAATGGAAGCAGTAATTTAAAAAAAATACATGCATCCCTATGTTGACTGCAACATTATTTACAATAGCCAAGATATAGAAGCAATCTAAGTGTCCATCAGTAGATGAATAGATAGAAAGATTGATTACACACACACACACACACACAATGGAATATCCATTAAAAAATGAAATTTTGCCATTTGTGACAACATGGATGGACCTAAAGGGTATTAAGCCAAATAAAATAAGTCAAAGACCATATGATTTCACTTATATGAAACTCTAAAAAATAAAACAAATGAACAAACAAAACAAAACAGAAACAGACTCTTAGATACAGAGAATAATCTGGCAGTTGCAGAAGGGAGGGAGTGAAATAGAGGAAGGAGATTAAAAGGTACAAATTCCCAGTTATAAAGTAAGTAAGATGTGGGGATATAATGTACAGCATAGGGAATATAGTTAAAAATATTTAAGAACTTTATATGGTAACAGATGGTGGATAGATTTATCCTGGTGATCACTTCCTAATGTTGTATTACTATGCTGAATACCTGAAACTAAAATAATATTGTATATCAACTGTAATTCAATAAAATTTTATTCCTAAGTATTTTATTGTTTTTGATGCTATTACAATTGGGATTTTTTTTTCCAATGCTTCATCATTAGTATAAAGGAATCCCACTGATTTCTGTAAGTTGATTTTGTAATCTGCCACCTTACTTATTAAGTATCATTAATTAATTTCAACAGGTTTTTGATTGACTTTTTGGGATTTTGTAAATATAAGATCATATCATCAGTAATTAGTGACAGTTTTACTTCTTCCTCCCCAATTTGGATGCCTTTTATTTCTTTGTCTTTCCTAATTGCTCTACCTAGGACTTCTAGTACCATATTGAATAGAAGTGGTGAGAGTGGGCAACCTTGTCTTATTCCCAAACTCAGAGAAATCGCTTTCAATTTTTCTCCACTGAATACGATATTAGCTGTGGGTTTGTTATATATGGCCTTTACTATGTTGAGGCATGTTCCTTCAATACCCAACCTGTTTTTATCATGAAAAGATGTTGTATTTTATTACATTAGACAGCACCATTTAGTGAATTTAGCAGGTGTCTACCAGTTATATATTAAATGATTAAAGCAAACTATAATATTCCCCATTAAGTATAAGTTACTATTGCATTAGCTGGATCTCTGGGTCCATCTTATCTTCACACAATGTTATTTATAGTAGACAACTTCTAGTTATGCAATAGAAGCACAGTTTAAATATAATGTGGGTTGTTTTTGTGACCTAACCTGGGCATCTACTTCATATGTTTATCACCACAAATATTTATTTTATTCCTACTACATACAAATATGTTTTAATATCTTCTTGCTTAAAAACAAAGAAGTTTCTTTGACCGCCTTCAAACTTACCTAGCTAATATCCCAATTTTTTCTACCCTTTAGAACAAAATTTCTCAAATGCGGTGTCTATTGTCAGTGGTTCCTGACAGATGATAAAAATATTGTTTTATCATGTTCTCTTTAGCCCAAAGTCCATCAAACAATTCTTGTCAAAGCCATTAATAACCTTTCATTCCTGTTCAGAAGGAAAATTGCAGTTGTCAACTTACTGGACATATTATAGCTTTAAATACACTTTCATTACTTCCTGGAAACAGTAGTCTTCCTTTCTTTGTCACTTCCTTCCTTGGTAGCTACTCCTATTAAGCCTCCTTTGCTGATTCTCTTGTCTGCCCAACCTCTAACCTTGGAATCACTTGGGCTTCAGCCCTGGCTGTCTTCTCTTTTATATCTAGAGTCATTCCTTAGATGGTCTGATCAAAATACCAAGCAATATTGATATGCTGATAACTATCAAATTTATATCTCCAATATGAGCTGCTTCCCTAAACTTCAAATTTATATATTCAATGGTCTACTCAGATCACTACAGAAGTCCCCCCCTTATCCATGGGATAAATGTTTCAAGACCCCCAGTGGATGCCTGAAACTGCAGATAGTACTGAATGCTATAAATACTATGTTTTTCCTATACATACATACCTACAATAAAGTTTAGTTTACAAACTGGACACAGTAAGAGATTAACAACAATAACTAATAATAAACTAGAACAATTATAACAATATGCTGCAATAAAAGTTATGTGAATGTGGTCTATTTCCCTCAAAATATCTTATTATGCTCTAGTCACCTTTATTCTGGTGATGATGTAGATGATACAATGTCTACGTGATGACATGAAGTGAGGTGAATGACGCAAGCACTATGACGTAGCATTAGGCTACTATTGACCAGAATTCTGATGATATGTCAGAAGGAGGATCATTTGCTTCTGAACCATGGTTGACCACAGGTAACTGAAACTTCAAAATGTGCCTAAGGAGGCTACTATACTTGGAAGATACTGTTATGCATGGCATAACAAGCTCAAAATATCTATGGTTGGGATATGACTCTCCAAATATTCCTTGTGCTTTTTTTTTTACATCTCCCGGGTGATTCCCTGAGCCTATTAAGTTAGATTAAGATCATGTGCCTAATTTTGGCAGTTAAGAGTGTGTTTACCTCCATTTCTCTCCTGTTCTACTACAGAGACACATAGAGTAGATACAGTGCAAAGGAAAATGACCAACATACACGAGACTTCATGTAATCAAAAAATAAATCTTAAAGCAAGCTAATTCACTGAGATTGTAAGGTTAGTTTGCTAATGTAGTTTGCCTAATTTATCCCCAAATACAATTTGACAACAAATACAAAGGGAATAAAGAGAGTCCAGAAATACAAGATCTCAAAATGTTGAAAGAACTAACCTCTTCTAGATCCCAAACACTATAAAATGAGATTTAAAACTACTCCAAGTGACAGAGACTCTGTAAAAAGCAGTTGGAATAAAGAACTCAGGGCAAAATCAGATCGAGCGTATAGTCTTTAAGGTATGTTCCAGATACTTTCAAGGCAACTGCTACTAAGTTGGGGGTGAGAATGCAGAATAATTAAAATTGCTTTTTTAAAAAGTATTTGCATGGAGCAAGTACATGAGAAGCTTTCTAAATTTTTGAAAGAACGTCGTTGTCAAAGAAACCATAAAGCCTAAAATAAAAATATCTTTGACACTTAAAGACAAAATAAACTTTGGGCTTCCAACTTTGCAGACGTAGGATAAGACCTGAGAAAACTGTGCCATCCTGGAGAAGGGAATAATCCCCAAGTAGCACATAAGATGTGTCCAGGGATAAAAATGAAGAAGGAAAAATTTCAAACAGTGCAGCCAGTGAAGCATTACAATGAGCAAATGACTCCTCCTAGGTACTAGAGGCTCCAGTCAAGACAACTTTTCTCATCCCCAAGGTAGGAGATCTTTATAATATTTGCCTAGTGGGATTTCAGAAGTGCTGGAGGGTAGCACTCTGTCTGTGTCTTGTTCATTTCCTTTATGAAAGGGATTATCCCATCCTTGGTCCTCTACCAATTATTGGAATTGTCCTTTTAGCTAACAGGTCTGTGAATGAAGAGGAAGAAGCTACATTGTAGCTGATGAAGACTAGTAAGTATCTCCTCCTGGAGAGACTGTTCTTTGTTCTGAGTTCAGTCAGTGAATGAGATCTGGGAATGTCTCTAATGGCAATGGGTTGAATATAGTCTATGTGGTTAAGCAGAGATCGAAGGATTGACTGTGTGTGGTAGAGACAGTGTTCCCCAAGTATTATATGTACTTCCTAAAATTTCTCAGCCTATCTTGCCAATATTTTGGTGTCAGCCCACATGACTAATTCTAGCCAATGGACTTCAGGAGAAGTGACACTTGTCACTGAACTGAGGCAGTTTGGAGCTGGGATGTGTCCTCTATCCCTTTCCTGTGTCTTGGCAATATTAGGGGCAGTCAAGATATAACAACCTTCTAGATGATATAGCCAGAAAATAGAAGAGGGTTGTACGACATGCATTGGACTTTACTATATAATAGGCCTCTGAGATTGGGATTAAAACTGGTACCACATCATAGCCTAAGCTATACTAATTATGGGAAGGCCCAATAAATCTCTATCCCAAAGCTTTTATACCACCAAACTTTCTCCTCTTCCAGCTATCTCTGGCTCAATAAATAGAAATTGCCCTCTTTTTCCTAGTTGCTTAAAACAAAAACTTTGGAATCATTTTTGATGCCTTCCCTTTTTTAAAAAAACACAAACCACATGTAATCCTACAACAAATTTTGTTGATTTTTTTTACTCAAATTATATCCAGAATCAGACCCCTTCTTACCGATTCACTACTGCCACCCTAATCCAAGCTACTACCACTTACTATCTGAACCACTAAATTCTCTTCATTAATGGTTTCTCTGCTTCTACCTTTGCCCATCTTTTGCAGTATATTCTCTGTGAAGCATCAGAGTGGTTCTGTTAAAACTTATCTCATATTACTCCTTTTGCTAAAAGTTTCCAGTGATGTCCTATATGATACCCAGTAAAAGCTAAAGTCCTTAAGAATCCTGAAGGTTCTCTCTCTTACAGCTTCCAATTCATCTTCTACTACCCTCTCCTTCAGGCTCACTAGCTGAGTCACTTAGCAATCGGGTTATTTTTGGCATATAATTTCACCTCTCTGAGATGTAATTTCCTCATCTATAAAATAAGCGTAGTAATAGCTATCCTATGTGGTTTATGATGAAAATAAAATAATAATTATAGTACTGCTCAAAACCATAAAGAACAAGTTAGGCTTACATAGTACTTACTATATGCCAGGCATTATTCTAAATGCCTTTCATTTATTTACTCATCAAATCCTCCCGACAATCTCATAAAGATAATTATTGCTATAATTTGCATTTGGGGGCAAAGAAAATGAGACACAAGAAGTTACATAATTGCTCAAGGTCACACAGGTAGGGAATGTCAATGTTGATTTGGACCCAGGCAGTTTAGCTCTAGAGCCTATGTATTTAGCCACAATAGTTTGACATCTTAAAGCATAAAAAGTCTGGTATATGCTAAGTATTTAAATAATACCAGTTCATCCTCTTCCCACTTAGTAGCATTGTGAAATAGGCTTTTGAACAAGTTAAAGACAAATCTGGGAGGAGGGGAAAAATGTAAGTAAATAAAATGAGTCTTAGGAAGGCTTACATCACTATATGAATGGAGAAATATATAATCAAATTTTTCAAATATAAGAACTAATTCAGCAATAAACAAGAATTTCCCAAGAAATATTATAAAAAATAAGAGGGATCCAAAAGACAAATCTTTCTAAAATTAAATATTATGATTCAAACCTTGAACCCAGTGTTAGAGCAATGAGGGTTCTCCTTACTTCAATAAAGATGTTCTAGAATTTGCATTGACTTAAAACCTGACTGCTTCGATTTGTGATTCTCCCAACTCTAGTCTTTAAGCAAAATAGCAAGCCATAGTTCACAATTTGAGGCAATAAGGGCATATTTTACTTAATCCTGGAACATAAGACCTTATTATCCACTCCTGTAAACATGACAGAGCTCAGATATAATCATATGGGAACATATTCATTGGCATCTTCTTTAAAAATATCAACCTTGATCTTGATAATCACCATAGGATTAAGAAATGTCAAGTTAACCATTTCCCTCTTAGTAATAATTGCAAAAGTAATCTTTCAGTTGTCAATTATAAAACTTTGAAATGAAAATTTACCTCGCTTATTTGGATGGGAAGAAGATAGACCATCTATAGCATAGGATATCTCAGCATCTTTTGCCTCCATGAACTGCTCTTTTAGCTGTTAAAAAGCAAATATAAAAATTATCAATCTTTAATAAGAACGATGCTGCTGGGCGCCTGGATGGCTCAGTCGTTAAGCGTCTGCCTTAGGCTCAGGTCATGATCCCAGGGTCCTGGGATCGAGTCCCACATCGGGCTCCCTGCTCGGCGGGAAGCCTGCTTCTCCCTCTCCCACTCCCCCTGCTTGTGTTCCTGCTCTCGCTATCTCTCTCTCTGTCAAATAAATAAATAAAATCTTAAAAAAAAAAAAAAACGATGCTGCTTCCTGTTGAAAAAGAGGAATAATTAGAATAAGAAAGGAAAAAGAGTAGGAAAAAATAGAAGAAAGGAGAAAAAAGAGGAATGGAAAAGGAGAAAAAGTAATAAAGAAAATAAACAAAAATAATTAAGTGGAAAAATCCAAGGAAACCTATTTAGAGACTGGCTGGGAAAGGCACATGACTCAACAGGAGATCAGGAAAAAAAAAAGGTTTATAGTGAAGGATGTCAACTCTGGGTGTTAGTTAATGGGGAGCCTATTAAGACAGCCTGTGTTGCTGGACTGGATTTGATGTCACCTCTAACAAGCAGTCCTCTTCAAGGAGCTTCAAAGGGTTGTATAAATGTTTGAAGTTCCTGAAATATTTCTCCTTTCCAGCAGGAAGTGAGAAGTATTTTGAGGCCCTACAGTTTTTACCTGGAATTCAACCCATGTTAATTTTTAGCAAGCTCTCTGATTGCCCATGCTCTGAAGACCTACTTCTTTTTGAACTCTACTCCAAAATAGAGTTCAGCCTGGCTGCTGAGGGTGTCCATGTCTGACCTGCTCAGAGTGATGGGGCATGATTCTCTCTCCCAAACAGCCACACGGCTTGTATAATAATGGATTTGCATGCATGTATGTGGTTGTATAATAATGGATTTGCATGCATGTATGTGGACAAGTTTTGAAATCATCTAATCTGGTGATTTTCAAATTTTCTTCCCAGCATGTCAAGCAGTGGGGGAATAAGGCTGCTAAGGGGCTTCCTATCAGGAGGGCTGAGAGCAGGTCAGGAAGATGACCCTTCATGTCCCCAACCAGCTGCTTTAAACAGGACAGCTCCACTTTCATATGCTTCATTTACTAGGAACACATCCAATTGATTTGGGAAAAAGTATTTCAATTTTTAAAAAGAGTAAGTATATTATTGAAAATCACCAATCTAAGTATAGCCTCCCATTTTACAGATGAAGAGATTTAAATCCATAGAATTTTGATTTGTCCATGGTCTTATAGTTAGGTAATTGGAGAGCTGGGATAAGAATCCAGATTTTCTACACATTTTATCTCAAGATCACTTCAGCTATATATAATTTTGTTTTGGTTTTCTTTTCTTTCTTGATTTTTTTAAGTGTAATTTGACTATTTTTTTCCCTAGTGATTAACTTTACTCTTTCTCTAGCAGGAATACAAAAATTTTACAGTATAGTACTAATAATTTTTCAAACTATGCCCAAAGATAAGAAAATGCCTTAGAATGATTATTAAAATTGAAATTAAGTATTTCACATTCTCACCTGGTTAAGTTCTTCCAATTTGTTAGCCAGTTCTCTATCTGCAAGATACATTTGTCATATGAAAAATTTCATTGTAAGTAATATTTGATTCACTTCAGGACACACATTCAGGATCTTATGTGGAAGGCAAAGGTCTTTTTCATATGATTTAAGACCACCCATCATCCCTGATATAAAACCCAAATACTTTCTCAATGCCTATAATATTGAATTGCAACCAGTTATATAATGAGAAAATACCTAATTTCTAGCAATAAGCACAAAGATTTCTAAAATAGGCCATAGTTCTGGGGCGCCTGGGTGGCTCAGTCAGTTAAATGTCTGCCTTTGGTTCAGGTCCTGAACCCAGGATCTTGGAATCGAGCCTGGGCAGGGAGTCTGCTTCTCCCTCTGCCTATGCTCATGCTCGTTCTCTCTCTCTCTCTCTCTGTCAAATAAATAAAGTCTTTAAAAAAAATCATTATAAAATAAAATAGACCATAGTTCCAACAAGCACTATTATTTAGAAATAAACTATTTTACTGACATAAGGAAATCTTATGAAACAATATTAAGTGAAAAAAGCAGGACACAAGCATCTATATAATTCAGTTGAGAAAGATAAGCCCAAAATATAAATAGTAACTCCCTCCCTTACAATTTGAGTATAAATTTTTCTTTTTTATAATTTCATTCATTCTCTTCAATGATAATATCTTACTTCTAATTTTAAAATGTTGTATTTTTGAAGTATTTATTAAGATATTGTTGTAGTCAGCACATTGTCCCATAAATAGACATTTTCTTTAGAAGACCAAATGTTTTCTGAGAGTATACCACATTAACATATTGTCACATTTTCTCTCAGGCTAGACTTACTAAGTTTCTGACAGTATTTGTCATTTCTTGGAGAACATTCTGACACGTAATTGTAAATTAGATTCTCCTGTTCTTCAAAGAAAAAAAAAATCTCAATTGGTGTAGCTTACATTTCCCAATGGTTTATACTCCAACCACTTCCCACATTGGGAGAATTTGATTGCAAAATGTGTTAAAACTGCTATGAGATTGCTGTTAATTTGTGAAATTTCTAGTGGAAACTTATGAACAGATGTGAAACATACAGTAAAAAAAAAAATACATATATATTAACTGTACCAGTGAGGATTTGCATAGATAAGAAGAAAATATGAGTAAAGATCACTGGTGTGGGGCGCCTGGGTGGCTCAGTTGGTTAAGCGACTGCCTTCGGCTCAGGTCATGATCCTGGAGTCCCGGGATCTAGTCCCGCATCGGGCTCCCTGCTCGGCGGGGAGTCTGCTTCTCCCTCTGACCCTCCCCCCTCTCGTGTGCTCTCTGTCTCTCTCATTCTCTCTGTCTCAAATAAATAAATAAAATCTTTAAAAAAAAAAAAAAAGATCACTGGTGTGTAACTAGATGGTTACCGATCTGACTAGGACCTTCTAATTGAAGAAAATAGGATTTTAATATTTGTTAATAATGCCATTGCTTTTAGCATGAATATGAAATAATAAAAACACTTAAGCCATCAGTGCAGCATAAAAGGGAGTAGTTATTATTTTATTTAATATAAATATACATTTAGAAAGAGCAAGTCAGAGGACAGAATAACTTCTTGACTCACCAATGTTAGAAGGTCTTTGGAAATCAAAATTTTTATTCAGTAGAGCCAGCAGTAGTTCTTCACGATTTGTATCTTCTTTATCTGGAAACAATTCATTTCCTGTAATAATCACCTCAATGTAATAAAACCTCTATTTTCAATCTGTGTCACTGAAAGTATTTCTAATTAAATACATTTTACAGGTAACTATCAATGCATATAGTCACTGATAAAAGGGGTGTGGAGAAGGGTGTGTAATCCAAAAAGATGGGCTGTTAAAAAAAATCATTGAATGTACTGGAGCTCTCAAACAGAGATTGTGAGAGAGGAAGAGGGAGAGACAGAGAGTATGTCTGAAAGATGACACCCTAAAATTTACCTGCCATCATTCCTAGGTAGTAGAATCGCAGGTAAATTTATTTTTTACCTGTGTTGTTGAAATTTTCTACTCTTGTGTGTAATATGAAAAACATAAAAGTTATATTTATAAAGAAAAAATAATTTTTGATTTTAAGATTTTATTTGCTACACACATTTAAATATGAGCCATTTTGTGTTCGGAGAGTGCCTTTAAACCATCTAAGGAAACCTGTGGAAGAGGTGGTATAATGTCTCTTTTCTCCCTATTGACATCTTTCCATCTTTGTCAGTTTCACTCCCAGCCCATTCATTGATTAGATGCTCAACTCTTTCAGCACTTTAAAAATAGAAATATTACCCAAATTTTTGTAAATATTTTTATTCTGGAGTAGAAATCAGGACAATAGCCTTTACTCAAGCTATAAAACATGAAGACTCAACAAGATATCTATTAACAATGCAACTGAAATAACAACTAGTGTATTACAAACAAAATAAACTTTTGTGAGGTGGCCTGAAAAATCAAACCTTTATCATAGAACTTCTATTGGATCATCTTCCCCATTTCCTAGCTCCTCATACTAGCTGACAGTGTGAACATAAGGTAGATTTGTGAGTTTGAAGTTTAAAAGTGAGAACATTGTGGTTGTAGCTACAGAAATGGCTCATAACTTGACTATATTATTCGATGAAATCATCTGCCTTTCCTGTGTCTACAAAATGTTTATTGATGCGCTCAAAGGACTAAGAGGCTAATGAAAGGAATGAGAATGCTTTGGTGAGGAAGCAAATGGATGACTTGGGGCAAGTGACAGCATTGTTTCCACACCGACCAAACATAGTTCACTGGTGCTCAGCTCTACAATTTCCTTTACTTCATAAACATAGAAATTATCTGTGACATTCTGGTTTTTTCTATTGATTAATTAAAACACTAATAGAATATCAACGGAACTTTTGCTTCACATTAATTAAATGAAGACCCTCAGAGATAGTTTAGTTTAAGACATGGCCATGCAATAAGGTAATTGTTACTACAGTTGTTTATGAAAATGTTAAATCATAAACTTTAAAATGTTTCAGTTTGAAAAAAGACATAAGGTACATTTTATAGCCAAATGATAATGGCTACTTAATTCAGAAAGAGAACTGTGATAAGAGAAACTGATTCATTGCCTTAACTAGAGAAAGTATAAGACTAGAAGGAAGTGGGGCACCTGGGTGGTTCAGATGGTTGAGCATCTGCCTTTGGCTCAGGTCATGATCCCAGGGTCCTGGGATAGAGCCCCACGTCCCGCTCTGCCCCTCTCTGGCTCAGTGGGGAGCCTGCTTCTCCCTCTTCCTCTGCCTCTCCTCTTCCCCTTCCCCCTCCCCCACTCATGCTCTCTCTCTCTCTGTATCTCTGTGTCTCAAATGAATACATAAAATCATAAGAAAAAAAATTAAAAAAAAAAAAAGACTAGAAGCCAAACTATGGAAAGAGCCAAGATGTCCATCCACAGATGAATGGATAAAGAAGATGTGGTATATATATATACAATGGAATATTATGCAGCCATCAAAAGGAATGAAATCTTGCTATTTGCAATGATGTGGATGAAACTGGAGGGTATTATGCTGAGCGAAATAAGTCAATCAGAGAAAGACATGCATCATATGATCTCACTGATATTAGGAATTCTTAATCTCAGGAAACAAACTGAGGGTTGCTAGAGTGGTAGGGGGTAGAAGGGATGGGGTGGCTGGGTGATAGACATTGGGGAGGGTATGTGCTACGGTGAGAGCTGTGAGTTGTGTAAGACTGATGAATCACAGACCTTTACCTCTGAAACAAATAATATATTATATGTTAAAAAAAAAAAAAGAAGAAGAAGAAGATAGCAGGAAGGGAAAAATGTAGGGGAGGAAATCGGAGGGGGAGATGAACCATGAGAAACTATGGACTCTGAGAAACAAACTGAGGGTTTTAGAGGGGAGGGGGGTGGGGGGATGGGTTAGCCTGGTGATGGGTGTTAAAGAGGGCACGTACTGAATGGAGCACTGGGTGTTATACACAAACAATGAATCATGGAACACTACATCAAAAACTAATGATGTAACGTATGGTGATTAACATAACATAATAAAAAAGAAAGACTAGAAGGAAGTAAGGAGGAAAGTGTAGAGCTGAAGGTTTTATGTGCTTAATTCACAACCCACTTCTGCATATTTAAGTGGAATATTTTTCACAAAAGAAAATTAATCTATTTGCCTTTCTTTACCAGTTTTGTTTCCAGTAACTACACTTGTATTAACTGTCCTCACAGAAAGTCTTGTCACTACCTTTTAAGGCAACCAACGTTTACAGGAATCTCTGAAGAAAAAATTTTCTCAAAAAATTTTTTAAATATTTTTTATTCCTAAAGTTAAGATATTGTCTAAGAAATATAAAATGTTTTTTTCTAGTTTTCATTTTTAGTTTTAAAGGATAACAGTTTTAAAAGAAAAAAATTACACATACTTTGACTATGTTTCTGTCTTTGAACTAAAGTCATTTGAAAAAATAAATAAATAAATAAAAGTTAATATTGATAAAAGAAATGTTTGAATAAAAATTACCTGAGTGTAGATGCATCCTTAGCACAGAGGATGGCAAAGTTACCCAGACATGACAGAGTGAATGCTTTTGCAAATACACAGATAAAACTAGTTCATTACTACTTAAGATACTGACTCAAAAGATTTTATTGTCTCCTTGCTTTTCGTTCAAATGTGAAGCATTTTAGTGGAGACAGATGAGAAATTTTCCCAGAAAGAAACCTGGAAACCCCCCAAAATGATAAAATACCAAAAAAAATTAATAAATTTTCTGCAGTCTTCTGGGTCATGATATTCACTCTTCAATCTTTTGTGGTAGGCAATTTGCTCAGTGTGAGCATTTCCCATCAAGCCAGGCTTTTCTATAGCCCCGACCAAATGAAAGCTGGCAGACTGTGCCATTTGTCTTGAGTATTGTCTAACACAGAAAGAACAAGGGGTGGTAACCACAACTTTGTACTCTGTTAGTGGACAAATGCTTATTTGAAAAATGTGTCAAAAGACCACAATAAGTCAAATGGTTGGCTGCTTTGACAAATATGTGTATGGAGAGAAGCTCACTCTAATCATAGATAATTTAGATCAGAAAATAACCTTAGAAGTAATTTAATCTTTCCCATTTACACACAAGGCAACAGATCCAAGGGCATCCCAGAGAGAAAACTTTTCAATATGCTGCCAGTGATAGAAGGACATCAGTGTTTGGTCTTCTGGGGTCAGAGGTGTTATTTAATTTTAACCTAGAAAAATGTCGTAGAGTTGGATTTTGCTGTATCCCACATCCACGTGAAATCAGAAGTTACATTTACTACTAACATCCTAATTTTGCAAAGTCCTCAATGAATAGTCTCATTTTTCCTCACACGTTTGCACTATGCTAAGAACATTGAAAATCTCATTATTTCACAGGAAGAGCAATGGAGGCCCACCAAGTGCAGTTGATTTTGACTGGCCAAAGACAAAATGTGAGCCATGGGTAAAATCCAGATTTTTTGATTCCCAAGCTTCTATTTATATCTCTGGGAAAATTTGTTTTTCAATGGGAAAATCCCTATAAATAAATAACGAGGATTTATGCAATTTTATTTTCACTGCCAAAAGAACTGCTCTAACTTTCATTGACTTTTTTTTTTAAGATTTCATTTATTTATTTGACAGAGAGAGATAGAGCAGGAACACAAGTGAGGGGAGTGGGAGAGGGAGAAGCAGGCTTCCCAACGAGCAGGGAGCCCGATGCAGGGCTCGATCCCAGGATGCTGGGATCATGACCTGAGCAGAAGGCAGATGCTTAAGGACTGAGCCACCCAAGCGCCCTTTCATTGACTTTTTTTTTATTATGTTAATCACCATACATTACATCATTAGTTTTTGATGTAGTGTTCCATGATTCATTGTTTGCGTATAACGCCCAGTGCTCCGTGCAGTATGTGCCCTCCTTAATACCCATCACTGGGCTAACCCATCCCCCCAACCCCCTCCCCTCTAGAACCCTCAGTTTGTTTCTCATTGACTTTTAAAACCACATTTAAGCAACATGGTCTAGTAAAATTGAATTCCATCTAAAAAAGAGAAACTTGATCCCTCTTCTCAACCCATATCATGTAAACCAAATGTATTATGTTCTGATTTGGTTCCTCTATGTAGGACAAAAGGCTCGTTCCTTCCCATCAAGGAGGTCAGTTAGATGACAGTAACCTCAAACTCTCAAGCTGGAAGGGAAAATAGAGAGCACTATTTTAAGTTACTATTTTTCAAACATAAAGAAATATATAAAAGTTTCAATGATGTTGTTTGCCTAATAAATCAACATTAAATTTAGCTCCCCTGATTCTCAGATGAAGAGCTATTTCCACTACAAAATACATTGAAAATTTTAAAGAAAGATCAATACAAGTTACAATATTACAAGAGCAGAAACTTATTTTTTCCAACTTTACATGGTAAATATTTGTAGATGTCATAGATTAAATTATTTCATTTAACCTAAGTATCATAAATATGTTAGAAATCTGATAAATACAGTCAATGAATAATGTGGGTGTTAGCATCATCCTCCTGAAAATACTATGTAGATTTCCCCATGCATTATTTTTTTCCAAATCTCTGCAAACACGAATTTCCGTCCTAATGTGTTATTCTCTGAGCCATTCTCCTTTCGTAAGTAACTTATTCATGATCTCATTGGATAAAAATACTGTTTTCTTTCCCCAAATGTACTTTAAGAATATGCACATATTAGTTAATTGATTGTATTACTATTTATACATTCGCTACCTTTGGTCATAGAGTAGAAGTAAGAAAAATGTGCCTCATAATTAGAAAAAAAATAAAGTGTTGTTGAAATAAATTTAGTATAATGTTGGTTAAAATTAATTTACTTGTGAAGAACAGCCTCACAGATTACATTTAATTTAAAACAGCAACTTCTGAAGAGATGTTTAATGATTACATCGTACTAATGCCTTAAAGTATTATTTTGATACTGGCAGAAAAACCAAGGCAATGCAAAGAGGAGGATAAGGATTATTTACCCATCTGTAGGACTTTAGACTCATGTGTACATACCTTGGATCAGATATGGCCGTCCATGCACCAATTCCAAAAAAATCAGTACAGATAACAAAGTTAGGAGTCCAAAACAAAGAGTGGCTGAAAGGATCTTGTTCATGTTAAAAATCTTCTTCTGTGCTAGCAGAGAAACTGGACTCTCCCAGTCAAGATGCATACTTCAGTGGCTCTGGAATGCTGCAGAGATCACTTTTAAAAGGTGGCAAGTGAGCTTCAACTACAAATGATCTGGACAAAGAAAAAAAAAAACTTATACAATGTAATGCATTCTGTCAACATGATTCACTACTTGGAGAAGTGACAAGTTTGCTACTGGGTCAATAACAGGAAGAACCCAATCGATACATCTCATACCTGCCCATTTCACTAAAAGCAGGCATTCCTATGCACGCCCACGCACTCAGACACATACACAAGCTTAGAGCCAAAATTAGCAATGTAGAACCTGTTGGTTAGATTTTCATAACAAGGAAATGGGAACAAGGCCTTTCATTTGACTAATTTAGAGCCCCACGGAGGTCTTCCTAATAGCCCATGTTATTTGCACCCACCGCTTCATTTTTAACCAAGCAAATAGATTTGAGTTGGGAAGAGCTCAAATTGGAAATGAATGATAATGGGAACATTAATGTCTTACTACATTGAAGAAGGATGGTTTCATTTTGCTGCAACCAGCACTTCTAGAGATTAAAGCTAAATCTAATTAATTCAAAGTTGGCAAATGTCCCGTCAATTACATTCTTTAGTGCTTGTTTTAATTGTAACGGTTTTCTTTTTAAGTCAAAGTCTTTCAGTATATCAACAATTTCAATTTTATGGCTCCAAAGATGTACTAATGACCTCTGGCCTTGGCATTTACTTCTGTCGGAGGACTCTCAATGCATTAGCTCTAAAACTGACTCAGTTCCCTGTGCATAAAGGGCAGCACGTGATGATGTGTAAGAAGTGCAATATCCCAACTTTTCGTGAACCCATTGCTTTAATAAATTCCCTGAATAAAGTGTCAACTACTTAGTTTGATATTCAGGCTTGTTTTTCCTTCATAGGCTCATTTCCACTACATGTCCTTCTGCACCAGTCACAGTAGGCTTTTAATTCCTGAACATATCTTGCACTTCCTCACTTCAGAGCATTGCTGACATATTTCTGTCTACCTGGACTCCTTCATTCCACCACCATTTTACCTACTCATCCCTTAAGCCCCTGATCCAATGCCACCAGCTCTGTTTAGTCTTTTGGATCTTTCTCTTTTTTGCTTTCAGACGTTAACAATTTTTCTTTTTACCTCCTTTGGACTACCACAAAACTGCTTAGGTATCTATCATTACTCCAAATCCATTCTTCCTTTCATTACAGTTACGTATCTTGTGTGTCTGCCTCTCCTATTAAATTATGAATACTTGGAGGGCAGTTCTTGTCATAGACATTTCTGTCCTGATTTGCAAATTTCAGAGCGATTCAAAGGAAAAACAATGAAAACATACTTGATTTGTGAATAAGAAGTAACTGAAATTTCTGGTAATTTAAAGGCAAAAATGTATAATGCTCTTAAACTTTATATCTAGGTATCAAGCTAAATGAATGGAAAGAAAAATTGCACCTCCTTAAATGTCTGTTTTCTCTTGAGCCTAAAAATTCAAGAACAATGTGTTTGCAACTTGATCCTTAAAGCTTATCATACCTCAGTGTTTCAAAACCTTCCATCATTCAAACATATCTTGATACCATCTATCATTACTTATTTAATAAGTTATTTGGATTACGTATTTTAACTCTAATTTTTTTAAAGTATGTCAATATGGAAAATGGGAAATGAGTATTACTTAGTGAACAAAGAATATACAACCATGATGAAAAATAGTATAATGGCAAATAATTATTAAAGAAAAAAGTAAAAACAAAATATAAAATACTCTGATAATAAATCTGATCAATCATATATAAAATATATTGATAATAAATCTATTAATCCAAAATGAAGACCTGGCAATAAATAACAAATGAAATGCAAGTTAAATATGGGTCAGTATTAAAAACATGTTCAGCTCATGGTTCCTTAATTTTAAAAAAGTGTTTTTAAATATAAATAAGATTGTTTGGATTTTTAAAAATTTTTGTGTTAAATAGCAGCACAAGGAACCCCAATTCCCATGGAGTTTGCCTTCTTAAAAGAGGCAACTTAATTTAATTGCCTTCTCTGATAAGGTTGGGTACTGATGGCTCATTTCCTTTTTTTTTTTTTTTAATTGACTGAAAGGGAACTTTTTATTACTTTTCTGTACAGAAAATTCAACAGCATCCACTCAGCCCAGTTTGGTGGGCAGTTCTTTAGCCTTTGTCTTTTCCAACTTGCTAATTCAAGCCACCGACTTTGGACCCAGGACATTGCCTCTCCAGTGATGGTGGATCTCATTATATCCGCCATTGTAATTGGTCCTGATACCTTCCACCAGCTTAGCCAGAGCTCCCCTGTCTTCCGAGTTAACCTGTGTGAAGGCAACAGCGATGCAGGTCTTCCTGTAGACCAGACGCCCCAGCCTGGCCTTCCCCTTGATAATGCAATAGGCAGCCCCCATCTCATGACACAGGGCGGGCAGGAAGACAACCAGCTCAGTGGGATCCACGTCATGTGCAATCACTACCAGCTGCGTCTTCTTGTTTTCCACCAAGGTGGTGACAGTATTAACCCCAGCTCAAAAGACAGGCGGCTTCTTAGCCCAGGCCAACAATCTTGGCTTCTTCTCTTGCTCTGTCTCTGGGCTAGTTTAGGCATTTGAGTAGCTGTTTGGTGGTCCAAGTCCTAGGTGAACTGGTTAATCCCGGGAGGCACTTCTAGACGTTTATAGGGAATAACCCTTTGCTGCTGCAGCCAGATGTAGCGGGGCCATTTGTCAAAGTGGGTGAGGTCCCTTTTGGGCTGGATGTCCCATCTGATGCCAAGATTCTTGGGCCTTTTCTCAGACCGGGGACTGACCATTTTCTTGGCCTCCTGCTTCTTTACAATAGCAGGGGCTGGGGCCGCCTTCTTCCCCTTAGCCTTCTTTCCTTTCAAGGTCTTGGATGGCTGGAAGAAAGAGCACTGATGACTCATGTCTAAACAAAATGTTATGTATGACTTTTGTTCCACAAACATTTGTTTCAGGAAATCTCATGTAACCCCCCTGAATCTTCTGTCATATTTTAGCTGATATTGGCGAAGTGATGAAAAATAAGTTCCTTATCTGACCATTCCATCTACTTTGGGGAAAAAAAGCCCACGAATATCCTTAACTAAATCTTTTATCTCTCAGTCTCTTAATAATCAAAATATTTTACTAAATTCTTCTCATAAGTATATAATCTAATTAGTTGTTCAAATAAAAACAAACTTTCAAGATTGATTGTATTAAACAGATAAATGAAGTTAGAATATTTATTTCTGGAGTCATTAGCATACACAGTAATAGTACATAATTGCCACTAATTGAGCCATCATCCATGCCAGGTCCTATTCTAAGCATTTCACATATAGTATAGTCCCTCAAAAATTATAAAGTTGTTTTGATTTTTCACCTTTTACAGCAAAGGAAGAAAGTTATGGAGCCAAAAGGAAACCTAGATCTACCTCAGAGTCATACCCTTACCCACCCATGTCCATGATTGGGAAAACATAGAAATGGAAAGTGATTGGTTGTTCCAATCAGAGAAATCCCAATTTTAAAGGAAACTTACAACATTTTGCTTCAAATTTTCAAAAGCAATCCTCTTGATCACTTAGTCTGTATCTCAGTTACTGCTTCTAAACATTTCTATTTTGTCAATGAAGACATTGTCATTATATTATAATGTACAGATAACTCTAAGATTCATTTACATCTTAACTATTCTCATAATGAGTGACAGGAAAAGCACAGATAATTAGGGTCCATATGGTGACTCAAATACATTTGAATAATTACTTTCTGACTCTATTAAACAGTTGGGCTTTTTTCCCAGTGAGTAAAAGAAAATTCAACAATTTCATTTTGAACTGCCTCTGACCCCGTTATTTCTTGGTAGAATTCCTAACATACAGTTAAATGAGTGAAAAAAAACAGCAGAGAGAGGGAGAAGGCAAAAGTAGAGGCTCTGGCATTCTGATAGATGTGTGCATGGATTTTTTTTTCATTTAAAAGAGTTCAGAAAGCCCTTATTTGTCAAAATAAAATAGAAATAAAATAGAAATGTCTATTCAAATACCTTTACAACTTTTTAAATTGGGTTATTTGTCTTTTTATTAAGATGTGAGAGTTCCTTATATTCTGGATGCCAGTCCCTTATCCAAAACATAATTTGCAAATATATTTGCACATTCTATGGATTGTCTTTTTACTTTCTTGATAATGTCCTTTGAAGTGCAGTTTTTATTTGGATAAACTCCAATTTGTTTATTTTGTGTGTGTGTGTGTGTGTATTTTTAGTGTATCTAAAAACCATTGCCTAATCCAAAGTCATGAAGATTCATGACTGCATTTTCTTTTAGAGTTTTATGCTTTTAGCTCTAAAATGTAGGACTTTGACCCATTTCGCACTAAATTTTGCATATGTTGTGCCATATGGGTCCTACTTTATTCCTTTACATGTGGATATCTAATTGTCCCAGCACCTTTTGTTGATATGTGGCTTTATTTCTGAACTCTCAATTCCTTTCCATTGATCAATTTGTCTATTCTTATGTCACTACCATACTACCTTTTTTTTTTAAGATTTTATTTATTCATTTGACAGAGACACAGCGAGAGAGGGAACACAAGCAGAGGGAGTGGGAGAGGGAGAAGCAGGCTTCCTGCCGAGCAGGGAGCCTGACATGGGGCTCGATCCCAGGACCCTGGGATCATGACCTGAACCGAAGGCAGACGCTTAATGACTGAGCCACCCAGGCGCCCTATACTACCTTTTTTTTTTTTTTAAGATTTTGTTTTTAAGTAATCTCTAAACCCAATTTGGGACTCAAACTTACAACCCTGAGATCAAAAGCTGTATGGTCTACCAACTGAGCTGGCTAGGTGCCCCTACCATATTATCTTGTGCTTTGTAGTAAGCTTTGAAATCAGGACATGTGAGACTTCCAACTTTGTCCTTTTTCTGGATCTCTTTCATTTTCATATAAATTTTAGAATTAGTTTGCCACTTTCTATAAAAATGGCAATTGGGATTTTGATAGGAATTACATTGAATTTGTAGATCGATTTGGGAAATAT